AACATAAAAAAGAAAAAAGAATTAAAAGAATGAGGACAGTCTAAGAGACCTCTGGGACAAGATCAAGAATACTAACATAGGTGTCCCAGAAGGAGAAGAGGGTGACAAAGGGGCAGAGAATCTATTTGAAGATATAATAGCTGAAAACTTTCCTAACCTAAGGAAGGAAACAGACATCCAGGTACAGGAAGCACAGAGAGCACCAAACAAGATGAACTGGAGGAGGCCCACACCAAGACACACTGTAATCAAAATGTAAAAGCCAAAAGAGAAAGGCAACAACTTACATACAAATGAAACCACATAAAGCTATCAGCTGACTTCTTAGCAGAAATCTTATAGGCTAGAATGGAGTGGCACAATATGTTTAAAGTGCTGAAAGGAAAAAACCTATAGGCAAGAATACTCTACCCAGTGAGGTCATCTTTCAGAGTGGAAGGGGAGATAAAGAGTTTTCCAGACAAGCAAAAACTAAAGGAGTTTATCACCAATAAAGAAGCCTTGCAAGAACTGTTAAAGGGTCTTAAGTGGAAGAGAAAAGACCACAAATAGGAATTAGAAAATTATCAAAGAAAAATAAATAAAAACAGTGGTGAAAGCAAATATTTAGTAAAGGTAGCAGATCAACCATCTAGGAAGCTAATATGAAGGTAAAAAGACAAAAGTACTAAAATTATCTATTTCCATGATAAGAGGTTAACAGACACATATACACAAAAGAAAGAGGTAACATATGGTATCAGAAACATAAAATGTTGGAGGAGGGGAGTAAGAGAGAAGAGCTTTTAATAAGAGGTCAAACTTATGAGACCATCAACTTAATAAAAGTTGCTATTTACATAGGTTATTGTATATGAACCTCACGGTAATTGCAAACCAGAAACTTATAATAAATACACAAAAAATTGAGAAAGGAACCCAAACGTAATACTAAAGGAAGCAATCAAACCACAAGGGGAGAGAGCAAGAAGAGAAGAAAGGAACAGAGAAGAACTACTAAAACATCCAGAAAAAAAGTAACAAAATTGCAATAAGTGCATCCTTGTCAACAGTTACTTTAAATGTCAATGGACTAAAGGCTCCAATCAAAAGACATAGGATGGGGGGCTGGCCCCGTGGCCGAGTGGTTAAGTTTGCGCGCTCTGCTGCAGGTGGCCCAGTGTTTTGTTGGTTCGAATCCTGGGCGTGGACATGGCACTGCTCATCAAACCACGCTGAGGCAGCGTCCCACATGGCACAACTAGAAGGACCCACAACGAAGAATATACAACCATGTACAGGGGGGCTTTGGGGAGAAAAAGGAAAAAAAATAAAATCTTAAAAAAAAAGACATAGGATGGTTGATTGGATAAAAAAACAAGACTCACATATAAGTTGCATACAAGAGACACACTTCATACCTAAAGACACTCACAAACTGAAAGGGAAGGGATGCAAAAAGATACTCCATGAAAATGGCAACGAAAAGAAAGCTAGGGTAGCAATACTTGTATAAGACAAGATAGACTTTAAAACAAAAATGTAACAAGAGACAAAGAAGGGCACTACATAATGATAAAAGGAACAATACAACAAAAGCATATAACACTTGTAAATATCTATGCACTCAACGTAGGAGCACCTAAATATATAAAGCAATTATTAAAAGACATAAAAATAGAAATAGACAGGAACACAATAATAGCAGGGGACTCTAACACTCCACTTACATCAATGGATAGATCACCCAAAGAGAAGATCAATAAGGAAACATTGACCATAAATGACACATTAGACCAGATGGACTTAATAGATATATACAGAACATTCTATCCAAAAACCACAGAATATGGATTCTTTTCAAACGCACATGGAGCATTCTCCAGGATAGATCAAACACTAGGCCACAAAACAAGTGTCAACAAATTAAAGAAGATTGAAATAATACCAAGCATCTTTTCTGACCACAATGCTATGAAACTAGAAATCAACTACAGGAAGAAACAGGAAAAGCCACTAGTTAGGGAAATGCAAAACAAAACTACAATGAGATGTCACCTCACACCCATCAGAATGGCTATAATTAACAAGACAAGAAATAACAAGTGTTGGAGAGGATGTGGAGAAAAGGTAACTCTCACACACTGCTTGTGGGAATGCAAAGTGGTGCAGTCACTATGGAAAACAGTATGGAGATTCCTCAAAAATTAAGGATAGAAATACTCTATGATCCAGCTATTCCACTGCTGGGTGTTTATCCAAAGAACATGAAAACATAAGTGCATAAAGGGATATGCACCCCTATATTCATTGCAGCATTATTCACAATAGCCAAAACTTGGAAACAATCTAAGTACCCATTAAGGGATGAATGGATAAGGAAGATGTGGTATATATACACAATGGAATATTACTCAGCTATCAAAAAAGACGAAATCTTGCCATTTGCGACAGCATGGATGGACCTTGAAGGTATTATGCTAAATGAAATAAGTCAGAGGGAGAAAGTTAGATACCATATGATCTCACTCATAAATAGAAAATAAAAACAACAACAACATCAAACAAACACACAGATTCAGAGATTAGATTGGTGGTTACCAGATGGGAAGAGGGGAGGGGGGGGACAAAGGTGTGACTGCACACATGTGCAGGGTGATGGATGGCAATTAGTCTTTGAGTGGTGAACATGAGGTAGTCTACACAGAAACTGAAATATAATGATGTATGCCTAAAATTTATGCAATGTTATAAACCAATCTTATGTCAATAAAACATTAATAAAAAGAAGAAAGAAAAAAAGGAATATCCAAATGACCAGGGGCCAGCCCGGTGGCGCAGCAGTTAACTTCACACGTTCTGCTTCTTGGTGGCCCAGGGTTCACTGGTTCGAATTCCAGGTGCAGACATGGCACTGCTTGGCAAGCCATGCTGTGGTAGGCATCCCACATAGAAAGTAGAGGAAGATGGGCATGGATGTTAGCTCAGGGCCAGTCTTCCTCAGCAAAAAAGAGGAGGATTGGCAGCAGATGTTAGCTCAGGGCTAATCTTCCTCAAAAAATAAAAAACCCCAAAAAGCAAAATGAGCAGTAAACATATGAAAAATGATCACCTTCAGGAGTCATAAAGGAAATGCAAATTAAAAATACAATTTTACCCACCTGATGGCTAAAATTATAAAGATGACTAGCACTTAGTACTGCTATCTTTTAGTGTAAGTGTAAATGGATACATTCGCTTTGGAAAACTCTTTGGTGGTGTTTACTGAAGCTGAACACAGACCTCCCTATGACATAATCATTTCTACTCCTTGGCATTTACTCAGCAGGAACGCATCCAATTGTGTTCCAAAAGACTTGTACAAGAACATTCAAAGCAGCATTATCCATTCTCAAACTGGAACAGCCAAATGTCCATTAACAGTAAAACAGAAAAAAATGTAGACTAGACATACAAAGGAATACTATACAGCAATTAAAATGGACAAAATCCTACACATGTAGTATTATAGATTAATCTCACAATGTTGAATGAAATAACTTAGTCATGAACATTTACACACTGCATGAATAAATTTACATATGGTTCAAAAAGAGGCAAAACTAATCTACGTGGTAGAAATCAGAATGGGGGGACCTTTGTAAAGGAGGATGGAAGGAGCATCTGCGAGGGAACGTGAGGAGGGCTTTCAGAGTGACAGCGATGCTCCATTTCTTTAAGTGGCTACTGCTTACAACAATGAGTCCACCTTGCGTATTGCATTAATTTGTTCATATTATTATGATTTGGGCCTTTTTTGGTATGCATGATAGACCAATAAAATAGTGTATTTTAAAAAATCTGGCAACTCTAGAGGAAGCACATTAACATTATTTACTTACTTCTTTTCAGGTATAACATAGTCACATCCCTTTCCTTTTTTTTACTTCGATGGTTTGTAATTTGTCGAGTATTAACCCTATTTTAACTAAAGCTATTTACCTTTTTCTGTCATCAGAAACCAGTAAGTCTGGAGTGTTATTGATTCTCCTAACACTAGTCTTTGTTCTGGTGTCCACTTATAACTCTGCTCCTTTATTTTCCTAAACTGTATGGAATGACATTTAACCTTCTCTCTTAATTCTAGACTTACTCATTACATGGTGCAAACACCTGACCACTTCATTGTCTCCTCAAGTAGTCATATCTGAGCACTTATATCTTGAAATGCATGTTATGTTATTAGGAATTATTTTTTCTCCTTTACATTACAATTATGGCATTACATTGTTCGTGAAATTATGTGTGGTAGGTTATGCTATCCACGAATTTAACTTTAGGATAATAAAGGACGTGTTACAAAATAATTTGTTACTCAAAGCAAGACTTGGGTCTGAGTAGGATTGAGAACTCCAATCCAGAGAATAGAGATTCTGCTGGAGGACGGGTGTGTCTTGAGAATGGAGACAGAGGAGAGGAAAATAACTTTCTAAATCCCACTTTCCAGACTTTCTTAAATACCAGCCTCTCTCATCTGATGGTAGAGGAATGAACACAGGCTTTTAAGCCCCTCAGAACTGGTTTCCAACAGGTACTGGTCTGTCATTCACTAGCTACATGACATTGTGGAAGTTAAGCTACCTGAGCCTTGGTTCATCTATAAAATGGCACTAATCATCTCTTCCCTCTTAGGGCTGCCATGAGAATTTAGGAGATAACACAGGACAAATATTGCACAGCAAGTGACTAATCTATAATTGGTATTTAACAAGTGTTAATGCACTTCCAGTCTGCCACCTCCATGCCCAGGGCTACAGCCAACTCCATGGGTACCTTTGTGCAAATAAAAAAATGGTGCCCTTTCATCTGAATGAGTGCCACCCTTGTGAAGGCTCATGACTTGGTGAGAGGAGCACTGCCTCCATCCCTGCCTGGATCGGGGCCATTAGGTAATCCTGTGCACACAACCCCCCTTTCCACTAAGACTCCAGTAGTGAAGGATCAGTTTTCATACATGTACTGGAGTCCAAGAACATGATTACCATTAGGAAAGTTCCAAAGGAATGGCTGGGTCAAGCGTGGTGTGAATTTTTTGTCCGTCGTGTTCTCAGGTAGATGCCATGGATTTTGAAGATCTCCAAGAAGCTCTGGACCAGAGCTCTCTCTCAGAGGGACTTTCAATAAGGCTGATCCTCTCATATCATATCTCCATGAGTCACCGCTCTCATAAGTGGACTTTAACCAGGAAAATGAAGGGTGTAACTAAGACTGGTTGCTAAACAACAGCCCCACCCTTGGAGTCCTCCTTCAATTCATTGTGACATTGCCTTCTGTGAGGCAACACTGTGATGTAAAGGAAGCCAGAAAGGCCCAATCAGCTCTGCTAATTATTAACTACCTGATCTTAGGCAAGTTTTCCTCACAAGATCTTAATGTCCTTACCTGTAACATGAGGACAATATTCACCATGCAGGTGATAACCTATATAAAGTACCTAGTCCAATGTTTGGGATACTCAACTTGTTAGTTCCTATCACCCTTCCTGCCTTCATTGATTTATTCATTCAACAAGTACTTATTAAACTCTTGTAATATGCTGAGTATTGCCCTAGGCAGGAATAAAGCAGTGAACAGAAATCCTTGTTCTCACAAAGGTTAATTCTAGTAGGGGAGGCAGACAATAAAAGAGGTAAATACGTAAAATGTATGGTATATCAGGTATATCATTGATAGGTGCCAAGGAAAAACAAAGGAAGCACAGAAGGGGGAGAAGGAGAACGGGGGTTTCAACTTTAAATTGCATGGCCAGGAATTGCCTCATTCAGAAGGTGGCTTTGAGGAACGGCCTGAAGGAAGTGAGGTAGAAAGTCAAATGGAAATCTGGGGAAAGAATATTTTAGTTTGTACAAAGGCCCTGAGGCAGTAACAAGCCCGGACTATTGCAGAAACAGTACAAACAGATCAACATGGTTAAGCGGAGGGAGTGAGAAGAGCCTTAGGAGGTGAGGATAGAGCAGTCATGGGGACTGGATTGTGCCTGTCCTCTTTCTGTACACAGTAGGTACACAGTAAACACTCATTTTTGTATGACTAATAAATATGTAAATGTAGCAGGAAAAATGGGGGGTCACCAGTCTTTTTTAGGCTGCAGTAATTTCTGCATTCTAGAAATGGTGACAGAATTTATCTTTGTGGGAAAATAATAGCACTGGAAAAGGCATTAGTCTGGGAAACCACTTTGATCTAGCTACTGGCCACTATGTTATTCAAAGACGCTTTTCCTCAAAGTCAACAGCCTCTTTCCTGTCCTTCACCGAGTCCAGTGCCCCACGGCCTCACATCCCCTCCTTGGTGTTTATTTTCCTTAATCGTGACCTACACGGGAAACTCCTTCCTAAAAGACTACCCCAAATTCCTATGCTCTATTTTATTCCAGACTTCATCATTCTTTGGCTAGAAATGTAATTACATTAGTAAATACCCAATTTTACCTACTCTTGCCTTCATCTGCTCATTGAGGACGCTAATCTCCATGTCTATGTCTTCAATCTCCAAGGCATGTCACGTAAGTGCTCAGAAGTCAATACATCAGCTACAATCACCATAAGTGCTATTTTCCCATGTTTTGTAACCCAATTCCAGCCCCAACTCATCCATGTTGAATTTAGATCATGTCACTACCCCTCCATCTCTGCGATAGCCCTCCAATGGCTTCACAGAATAAAATCCAAACTTCTAACCATGTTTCAGGACCTTGCTTGATCTGACCCCAGCCTATTTCTTCCTGTGCCCAATACCTCATGGTAACACTGGTCTTCTTTTTTCTAACATACATGCTCATTTCCACCTCAAGGACTTTGTACTTATTGCACCTCAGCCTGAAATAGACTTTTCCTAGATCTCAAAATGACTGGCTGTTCTTGAATGTCAAGGCTCATCTCACAGGGGACCTCCCCAGAGAGGGCTTCCTGGACTGCCCAAACTCAGATACGCTCCTCCCCTGGTGACTTTCTATCACTGTTTCACTTTCTGCACTTCTTCGTTTGCCTGTTTATGGCCTATCACTCCCACCAGCAAAATATAATCCTTGTAAGGGTGGATTTACCACTATATCTTGAATAACTAGAACGTTACCTGGCGCATAGTAAATAATCAATAAGTGTGTGAGCTTATGAATGGTCACTACACAGAAAACTGATTGTGTTTCATCACCACCACCGGTGATGCCATCTACCCTGAGAACGCTGAGGTCTGTGTCAAGGGAGGCAATAAAACGTTGTAGTTAGGATTGTGAGCTCTGGAGCCAGCCTGCCTGGCTTTGGAACTGGCTCTGCAATTTATTAGCTGTGTGATGCTGGGCAGGTTTCCTAATTCCTCTGCGCTTCAGTTTCCTGGAATTAGTATTATCTTCCTCACAAGGTTGCTGGGAGAATTAAATAAGAAATTACAAGTAAAACACTTAGAGTTTGACATACAGTAAGCATGCCGGAAAAAATAGGAGACATTATATTCTTATTATATTAGTTAAGATTCTTTTAGTTGGAAATAAAAGAAACAAACATAAACCAGCTTAAGCAGCAAAGAGGAATTTGTTATATAGTTATAAGGGTGCTTCACAGAACCCAAAGGGAGAAATGTATCTGGGCCCCAGGGAAGAGCTAGAATTAAGAGTTGGAAAGCCATCAGTAAGTGTTGTCTCTCTCCGTCTTGCATCATGGCTTTTCTCTGTAGCTCTCCTTTAGTCTTATTGCTCTGCATCCAGGGCAACTTTCCCTTCTCCTCAGTCTCTCACTATAGCCCCTTAGCTTGCATATTACAGGCCAAGCCACTCTCAGGGACTGACAGCCATTCCTTGTTCTCTGTTGCAGATTCCAAGGGGTAATAATCTGATTGGCCCTCTTGAGTCTACCGTCGACCCCAGTCAATCAGCCAAGCCAGGGGAGGAGACACAGTACAAACACAGCAGGTGGTGACCACCGCTATGGTTTCAACGATGGTGGCGGTCTCCTGAGAAAGGGATACTGCTGGCCCAAGGGCTGGACAGACACCCCAAAAGGAGTCCACTGCACAGATCTTCCCAAAGCTGCCAATCCAAGAGGCGCTGGACCAGATCTGAGACCTCAGTAGATGTAAAGAGAATGCCCTGGCCTTCTTCTCCTTGAACAAGCCTGTGCCCCCAAGCCCCATGGAATCACTTTGGCTCCTTCCTGAAGATGGTCACCAGGTTACAGACCTATCTTCTGCGTCTTCTTATCTTATCCCACCACCAAACGTTCACACACTTCCTCCTGACAGTCTCCAAATTTCATGCAGATCAACACAGGCAGATAGAAGACTGGTGTTGTTGGCTCCACCACTTCCTCATACTATCTTAGACTGGGGTTGTTGGCTCCACCACTCCCTCATACTATCTTCCGCCATTCCACCCCCGCATACAGCCTGTATTTTCACGTCTAGAAAGGTTTCCTCCAAAATCACTTAAAACCAAGGACACTCATGTTTTGACTGATGGATTTTTTTATGGAACCCTAGGTGGCAGCAAGATGTGCTAAGCAAAGGAGACTGTTCAGAACCCATGGGAATTGAGACACGGGTCAGGTTTGTGCCCAGTTGCAACGATAAAACAGATTGTGTCAAAGACAAGCCTGGCCTATCAGTTCTGCTGGTATATGATTCCTTTCAGGCAGTGCCAGGAGGCATTTCTCTTTTATGCCACAGGATAGAGACCATCAGCTTTGCTGGCACAGAATCCATTGCCGCCAGAGCTGCCTCCAGAACCGCTGCTCCCGGTCTCTCTCCCACTTCCGCTCCTGCTGCTGGGAACAGGAGTTACTGGCTCCGTGGACTGAGCAGGGGTGGTGCAACCTGAAACAGCACAAAGAGCAGACTAGTGGACCTGGCAGAATCTCCAACTTTGCCTAGAGGTGAAGAGACCAGTGGATCTCAGGGTGAGGTCTGGAGATGGAGTGGTCTCCTAAAACTAAGGAGATGGCAAGGTAACTCTATACTCAGGAATCAGAAAAAACTATAATTTCAAACCAGCCTGGTTTTAAATTTAAAAAGTTCTCCCTTCTCTTACGATGTCAAAAGCTTTAAAAAATAAATTTACTGAGCACCCAGTATGTGCAAAATACTTTTCTAGTATCTGGGTATTAATGGAGAGCAAATAAGCTCTAAGAGAAAATCTGGAAAGAAAATTAGGGAGTTGGAACTTCTCTTGAATTACAGACTAGAAATATGTAAGCACTGCTGAGGGTTTCTTGTTAAATCTCACCCAGCGAGCTGAAAGAGACTTTAAAAATTTTTTTTTATTGTGGTCTAAATAGTTTATAACATTGTGAAATTTCATTTGTACATTAGTAATTGTCAAACACCATATAAATGTGCCCCTGCACCCCTTGTGTCCTATCCCCCTCCCCAGTAATCACTAAATTGTTCTCTTTGTCTATAAGTTTGTTTATATTCCACATATGAGTGAAATCATACGGTGTTTTATCTTTCTCTCTCTGGTTTATTTCGCTTAACACGATGCCCTCAAGGTCCATCCATGTGGTTGTGAATGGGACGATTATGTCTTTTTTTATGGCTGAGTAGTATTCCATTGTATATATATATACCACATCTTCTTTATCCAATCATCAGTCATTGGGCACTTGGGTTGCTTCCATGTGTTGGCTATTGTGAATAACGCTGCAATGAACATAGGGGTACGTAAGTTTCTTTGTATTGTTGATTTCAAGTTCTTTGGATAAATATCCAGTAGTGGGATAGCTGGGTCATCTGGTAGTTCTATTTTTAATTTTTTGAGAAATCTCCATACTGTTTTCCAAAGTGGCTGCACCAGTTTGCATTCCCACCAGCAGTGGATGAGGGTTCCCTTTTCTCCACAACCTGTCCAACATTTAGTATCTTTTGTGTTGGGATTTAGTCATTCTAATGGGCATAAGATGATATCTAAGTGTAGTTTTGATTTGCATTTCCCTGATGATTAGTGATGTTGAGCATCTTTTCATGCACCTATTGGCCATCTGTATAACTTCTTTGGAAAAATGTCTATTCATATCTTCTGCCCACTTTTTGATTGGGTTGTTTATTTTTTTTGTAGTTCAGTTGTGTGAGCTCTTTATATATTAAGGAGATTAACTCCTTGTTGGATATATAATTTGCAAATATTTGCTCCAAGTTGGTGGGTTCTTTTTTCATTTTGATCTTTGTTTCCTTTTGCCATCCAGAGGCTCTTTAGTCTGATGAAGTCCCACTTGTTTATTTTTTCTTTTGTTTCCCTTGTTTGAGTGGACATCATACTTGTAAAGATCCTTTTAAGGCTGATATCAAAGAGTGTACTGCCTATATTTTCTTCCAGAAGTTTTATGGTTTCAGATCTTACCTTCAAATCTTTGATCCATTTTGAGTCTATTTTTGTGTTTGGAGAAAGATAATGATCTACCTTCATTCTTTTGTATATGGCTGTCCAGTTTTCCCAGCACCATTTATTGAAGAGGCTTTCCTTTCTCCATTTTATGTTCTTGGCTCCTTTGTTGAAGACTATGTGTCATTTTATTTCTGGACTTTCACTTCTGTTCTATTGATCTGTGTGCCTGTTTTTGTACCAGTAACATGTTGTTTTGATTACTGTAGCTTTGTAACATGTTTTTCAGTCAGGGATTGTGATGCCACCAGTTTTGTTCTTGTTTCTCAGGAGTACTTTGGCCTTTCGGGGTTTTTGGTGCCCCATATGAATTTTAAGATTCTTTGTTCTATTTCTGTGAAGAATGTAATTGGGATTCTGATTGGGATTGCATTGAATCTGTAGATTGCTTTAGGTAGTACGGCCATTTTAACTATATTTATTCTTCCAATCCACATACATGGAATATCTTTCCATTTCTTTATGTCATTATTGATTTCTTTCAGTAATGTCTTATAGTTTTCTTTGTATAGGTCTTTCATCTCCTTGGTTAAATTTATTCCTAGATATTTTATTGTTTTTGTTGTGGTTGTAAATGGAGTTGTGTTCTTGTTCTGTTAGTTCATTATTAGAGTACAGAAATGCCACTGATTTTCATATGTTGACTTTGTATCCTGCAACTTTGCTGTAGTTGTGGATTATTTCTAACAGTTTTCCAATGGATTCTTTAGGGTTTTCTGTATATAAAATCATGTCTACAAAGAGCGAGAGTTTCACTTCTTCAGTGCCTATTCGGATTCCCTTTGTTTCTTTTTCCTGCCTAATTGCTCTGGCCCAAACCTCTACTACTATGTTGGCTAAGAGTGGTGAGAGTAGACACCCTTGTCTTGTTTCTGTTCTCAATGGGATGGCTTTCAGTTTTTCCCCATTGAGTATGATGTTGGCAGTGGGTTTGTCATATATGGCCTTTATTATGTTGAGATATTTTCCTTCTATACCCATTTTATTGAGAGTTTTTATCATGACCGGATGTTGGATCTTATCAAATGCTTTCTCTGCATCTATGGAGACAATCTTCCTCCTTTTGTTAATATGGTGTATCACATTGACTGATTTGTGGATGTTGAACCATCCCTGTGTCCTTGATATGAATCCCACTTGATCATGGTATATGATGTTTTTAATGTATTGCTGTATTCAGTTTGCCAATATTTTGTTGAGGATTTTTGCATCTATGTTCAAAAGCAACATTGGCCTGTAATTTTCCTTCTTTTTGTTGTCTTTGTCTGGTTTTGGGATCAGGGTGATGTTGGCCTTGTAGAATGTGTTAGGAATATTTCCATCTTCCTCAATTTTTTTGGAATAGTTTGAGAAGAATAGGTGATAAATAGTCTTTGAATGTTTGGTAGAATTCTCCCGAGAAGTCCTCTGGTCCTGGACTTCTATTTTTGGGGAGGTTCTTGATTACTGTTTCAATCTCTTTGCTTGTGATTGGTCTATTCAGTTTCTCTATTTCTTCTTGATTCATTCTTGGGAGGTTGTAAGAGTCTAAGAATTTATCCATTTCTCCTAGATTGTCCAGTTTGTTGGTGAATAGTTTTTCATAATATTCTCTTATAATCTTTTGTATTTCTGTGGTATCTATTGTAATTTCTCCTCTTTCATTTCTAATTTTACTTATTTGAGCCTTCTCTCTTTTTTTTCTTAGTGAGTCTGGCTAAGAGTTTGTAAATTTTGTTTAACCTCTCAAAGAAACAGCTCCTTGTGTCATTGATCTTTTTTACAGTCTTTTTGTTTCAGTTTTATTTATTTCTGCTCTAATTTTTATTGTTTCCCTCCTTCTGCTGAGTTTGGGCTTTGTTTGTTCTTCTTTTCCTAATTCTGTTAGGTGTAGTTTAAGATTGTTTATTTGAGCTTTATCTTGTTTGTTAATGTTGGCCTGTATTGCTATAAATTTCTCTCTTAGGACTGCTTTTGCTGCATCCCATAAGAGTTGGTAAGGTGTGTTTTCATTCTCATTTGTCTCCAAATATTTTTTGATTTCTCCTTTATTTCTTTGATGACCCATTGGTTGTTCAGTAGCATGTTGTTTAGTCTCCACATTTTTGTTTCTTTTCCAGCTTTTTTCTTGTAGTTGATTTCTAGTTTCACAGCATTATGGTGAGAAAAGGTAGTAGATATTATTTCAATCTTCTTAAATTTATTGAGGTTTGCCTTGTTTCCCAATACATGGTCTATCTTTGAGAATGTTCCATGTGCACCTGAGAAGAATGTATATTCTGCTCTTTTTGGATAGAGCGCTCTATATATATCTATTGAGTTCACTTGGTCTAGGTTTTCATTAAATCCACTATCTCCTTGTTGACTTTTTGTCTGGATGATCTATCCATTGATGTAAGTGGGGTGTTGAGGTCCCCTACTATTACTGTGTTGTCATTGATATCTCCTTTTAGGTTTGTTAATAGTTGCTTTATGTACTTTGGTGCTCCTGTCTTGGTTGCACACATGTTTATAATATGTGTTATGTCTTCTTGGTGAAAAGTCCCTTTTATCATTATATACTGCCCCTCTATGTTGTTCTATACAAGTTTTATCTTGAAGTCTACTTTGTCTGATATAAATATGGCAACACCTGCTTTCTTTTGTTTGCCTTTAGCTTGGAGTATTGTCTTCCATCCTTTCACTCTGAGCCTATGCTTATCTCTAGAGTTGAGATGTGTTTCCTGGAGGAAGCATATTGTTGGGTATTGTCCTTTAATCCATCCTGCCACTCTGTGTCTTTTGATTGGATAATTCAATCCATTTACATTTAGAGTGATTATTGATATATGAGAACTTAATACTGCTGTCTTTTCGCACATTTCCTGGTTCTTCTGCATTTCCTTTGTTTTTTGTCCTGTGTATTTCAGACTACCAATTTGATTAGGTAGTTTTCTCTGTTGGTTTTCTTCATTTTCTCCTTGTTTATCATGAATGTCTCTGTTCTAATTGTTTGTTTAGTGCTTACCCTTAGGTTTGTATAAAAAATCTCATAGCTGAGATAGTCCATTTTCTGATAGCCTCTTATTTCCTTAGACTATACTGATTTCATCCCTTTCTTCTTCCCCTTCTAAGTTATTATTGTCATATCATTTTCCATTTTGTGTTATGAGTTTGTGGTTAAAAAGATGAGATAATTTTTTTGGTGCTTTCCTTTTATTTATTCTTGATGTTAAAGTTAGGTGTTTACTCACCTGATCTGATAGAGAGCTGCCCTTTTCTGATTATTGCCTACCTATTCATCTCCTTGCTCAGGGCTTTGTAGCCTCTTTCCTATTTATTTTCTCAGGTATGAGGGCCTTCTTGAGGATTTCTTGTAGGGGGGAGGGTCTTGTGGCAATGAACTCCCTTGGCTTTTGTTTATCTGGGAAAGTTTTTATTTCTCTGTCATACTTGAAGGAGATTTTCAGTGGATAGAGTATTCTTGGCTGGAAGTTTTTGTCTTTCAGGATTTTGAATATATTATTCCACTCTCTCCTAGCCCGTAAGGTTTCTGCTGAGAAATCTGCTGAAAGCCTGATAGGGGTTCCTTCGTAAGTTATTTTCTTCTGCTTTGCTGCCCTTAGTATATTTCTTTTGTCCTTGGCTTTTGCCAGCTTCACTACTAGATGCCTTGGAGTGAGGCTTTTTACACTGACAAAGTTAGGAGATCTGGAGGCTTCTTTCACATGGATTTCCAGCTCCTCCCCAGGTTTGGGAAGTTCTTAGCTACTATTTCTTTGAACAAGCTTTCTGCTCCATTCTCTTTCTCTTCTCCCTCTGGAATATCTATAATCCTTATGTTGCATTTCCTGATGGAGTCAGATACTTCTCTCAGAGCTTCTTCATTTCTTTTTAGTCTTAGTTCTCTCTTCTCCTCCCTCTGAAGCACTTCTGTAGTATTATCCTCTAACTGACTGATTCTCTCCTCCATATTATCAGTTCTGTTGTTTAGGGAATCCAGATTTTTCTTTATTTCATCCATTGTGGTTTTCATCTCCAACAATTATGACTGGTTCTTCTTTATGGTTTCAATCTCCTTTGTGAAGAGGCTCTTGAATTTGTTAATTTGTCTTTCTGTGTTTTCTTGTAACTCATTGAGTTTTTTTTATGATAGCTGTTTTGAATTCTTTGTTCTTTAGGTTATGGATTTCTGTTCCTTCAGGGTTTGTTTCTGGGTACTTGTCACTTTCCCTCTGGTCTGGAGCTTTAATATACCTACTGGCACTGCTTGATGGAGTAGATTTTTGCTTCCTTATGGTATTCTTATCAGGTCACAGCTGCCATGTACCACCAGAGGATGGGGATCAGGCGCTGTGTATTCTGGGCCCAGCATGAGCAGGGCTCCCCAACTCCTGCCACGGACTGCTTTTCTCTCTGAGTGACTGATCAGTGGGAGATCTGGAGCACTGGGCAGGGGGAGGAGTACTCTCCTTCCCCAGTGCTTCCCTTAGCCCCTGCTTGTCTCTCCGTAAGGAGCTCTGGGTGATTGCAGAACTGTACACTTTCCCTTTCTCCACCACCACTGCCAAGTTCTCTGCACCATGCTCCAGACAATTCTGGGGTTGAAGTACCGGGCTGGGGTGGGGTGCCTCTCTCACCTGCGCATTTTCCTTCCATGGCTGCCACACTCTTCACACAGTGCTCTGGAAGATTCTGGGACTGGAGTATTGGGGAGGGACGGGGTGCTCTTTTCACCTGAGCACTTTCTGCCACCACAGCACATCTCTCTCCATGGAGCTCCTCTGGATCAGCTTTCACTTCCTCCAGAGGATCCAGCCCCACCACCACCTTCAGGCATATGGTTGCAAGGGTCTCCCAGACGTCTTTTGCGATGTGTGTATGTCCTCTGTTGGTGTATGAATGTCCTTTTGGTTATATCTTAGAGGGGAGAGTCCAAGGGAAGGGTTCATTCCACCATGATGCTGACTTGACTTTACCTGAAATAGACTTTTTTCTTTTTAAAGATTTTGTTTATTTTTCCTTTTTCTCCCTGGAACCCCTTGGTATATACTTGTATATTTTTAGTTGTGGGTCCTTTTAGTTGTGGCATGTGGGATGCAACCTCAGCATGGCCTGATGAGTGGTGCCATGTCTGCGCCCAGGATCTGAACCAGCGAAACCCTGGGCCTCTGAAGCTGGAGTGTGTAAACTTAACCACTGGGCCACGGGGCCAGCCCCTGAAATAGACTTTTAATAAGGGATTTGTAGAGAAGTAAATGCATATATTGAAGATCAGCCCAATTTCTTGAGGTTTTTCCCCACATTTACGATTTATCAAATCTGGAAAATCCAGCCAGGTGGGCCTGGTTTCCCATAAGACCATAAAATTCCTGATATGAGAGTTCAAGGGTAGAGAAAGAATGTACCATCTGTCTCTTAGCAGGGAAACAGCAATGAGGTGAAATGGGAAGAGTCTCCCTGGGCAATGGGGATGGGTGAATGTTAGAGCTGTCTTTTGAGATGGAGAAGAAACATTTGTATACCCTGGGCATCCTCCTGCTGTCACTTACTTGTGCTCTGCAGGCCAAGGGCAGTGATTGGGGGGACTTTTCCTGGTTGTAGAAAGTGTCAATGAAGTCATCCAGGTCAACAGCCCAGATCATGGCACTTCCGAAACTGTTCTGCTTAAGCCATTGAGTTTGTTTAATGATAGAGGATACCAGGAGTCATTTTCTTTCCCTAAATTCAGGGCTGGACCTGCAGCTTGTTGGAGAAGCTGACTTTAGCTTGATACTGAAGCTCCTGACGTTGTCATAACCAACCCTCTCATTGCCCTGAGAGGCAGAGGGCACATCCTGAGGGGTATCCCATACCTGAGTGGCTCCATTTTTCAGGAAGGTGCAGATCTTTAAAAAGTCAAGAGATTCAAATCTTTTAAATTTGTCTCTTTGATTTTTTTTCATGTCTCCAATTGGGATTTTCCTCAGTTTTCTAATATCTAATAAAATAATAATTTTCTTATTTCCAGTAAATAAGATCAAGTTGCTTTTGAAATACTCATGTGTTGTCCGTATTCTTAGTGCTTGATTTTGGGAGCCCATGTTAATAGGAGAGATACAGTTATTTTATTCCCTTGTGTGCTAATATAAATGACCTTAAGTATGTAGTCTGTTGCTTGAAGGGTTGTTGCACTTTATAAGTGCTCTTCATACTAGATTGGGCAAATGAATAGGTTATTTAAACACTTAAAGCATTTGGAGTGATATTTTTGTTTAAAGTAGGTAAGTACTGGACAGAAGGGACATTCCAACTTTCTGAAGATTCTAGCCCTAAGGCTACAGCTCAGCACGGGGCATGAAATTCACAGAATTTCAATTGTACAGCCCAACCTACCTGCCTCATAGTAGGCCCAGAACCCAGCCTACCTGGTGTAGGGTCCAGCAGAACCAGCGCCAGAGGTAGGGGTGCCAGTGCCAGTGTTGGAAGGTTGCTCAGGTTGAAGGCGTGTCCGTGGGCTGGGAATGCAATGATGAGCTTCTCAGCTGGGGCTCCATTGTCCTTCCAGTAGTTCCTGACCTAATCCTGCAATGGCAATAGGTTAGCTAGTGACCCCACCCAGCTGAGGACCCAATGCTTAGTTATGTTAGGCCACTGCTCTAACAGGTAAAATTGTATAATGTTAATGACAGCTAGATTAGTTAGTATTTTTTAAAAACATTTTGGTGAAATCATAGTTAATGAGATATGATCAGACACTTAAGAGGACAGTTATCCAAGTGAGACATTTGCAGAATTTATGTTTGTTTTGTCCCTGAATCTCCATGTGATTTACACCATCATCTCTGGCCAGCATCTGCATCTGTGCAGGGACTCACCACACTGAGGTAGGTGTTGCTGCCAGTGTCAGTTGAGTATGTGTAGAGGGGGCTGTTCTCTCCAGTGTAGCCCTCCTAGGAGCTGTGGAGGTCATAAGTCATGACATGGATATAGTCCAGGTACCTGAGGTGGGGTAAAGGATTTAGAAACATTTCTGATGGTCATTTCCACACCTATGCAGGCAAAAGAAACCACTTCCAAAGCCTCCCAAACAAGGTCCCTGAACAGCAAGCAGGCTAACGACAAGTCTATAGGCAAAGTGATACCTATAGGAGTTTAAAGATAAGGTGAATCACTCACGGGGACAACTGGGGAATCTCATAGCAAGACTGGATGTTGGAGATGCCAGGAGCTACTGCAGCGGTCACCATCAGCCTAGGCTTGTTGATCTGCTTGGTCTCCTGCTTCATGCATTTCCTATGGAATAATCAAGTATGATAGGCATCTATGAATCTGATTTCAGTCCTTAAATAATAAATATACATTTGTATAATGCTTTTCCTTTTCAAAATGCTTTCACATATTGTATGTTACCTTAGTTTCTTGATATCCTATAAAGTAGATAGGATTGATGATATTAATCAATTTTGTAGCTATCTGTTATGCAAAGAAGTTAGACAATTTCACCAAAGTCCAACAACAAGTTAGCAGCCAGCTCCTGACCAGAACCCATGTCCCAGATAACCAGTCAGAGCTCCACTTACATCACTACACCCTGAAGTTACAGTTGCGGCAGTAACTTATGTCCAGATTTTAGCAATATAGAAATTTGCTTCCCTTAATTCAATAAATGAACTACTTTATAGGACTGACATCCCACCAAATGAAATGCTGAATAGACCAATGAGGAAGGTGGTAACAGCCAGGTTATAGGTTCCCATTCAATGCTAGAGGTTAATCCACCTTTATTTTGTGTGACTCTAATCTCATTTGGAGTATTGAGTTCACTTTTTATAATTGCACTACTATTGGGTGTGCTAGAGTGTGTTCCAGTGAAGAGAGGGTCTGTCTGAAAATTGTCATGAGAGTAATGGTTAAAGGAACTAGGATATTTAACTGGAAGAAGAGAAGTTATAGGCAGGATATTAGAGCTGTCTTCAAATATTGAACTGATACATTGCAAAAGGCACAGTTTTATTCTTTGTTACTTCAGTGGGCAGAGCTAGAACCCATGACTGGACGTTACAAATTATGACTGGAGGCATGTTCTGGCTAAGAATAAAGATGTTCCAAATAAGTAGATTGACTTTTCAGCTAGTGAGTTACTTAACATTGAAACTGTTTGGAGGCTGGCTGATAATCCAGTATGTGGGATGGTATAGAATGGAATCTCTGTCTTGAGAGACAGTAAATCTGAAAACCATCCTTGGCTCTTCTCACTCCATTCACTTTTCCTTAGTGATCTCTTAATCATCTACTTTTGCCAATGACTTCAATACAGTATATCAAATGAAATTCTTTGTCCTGAACTCCAGACTTGTATTCATTCAATGTCTATTGGGTATTCCTATCGGATGTCCAACAGATTCCTCTCATTCATCACATTCAAAGACAAATTATTGAGTCCTTCCTCTTGGTCCAGATCTACTTTTCTTCCTGTATTTATCATCCTAGTTAATAGGACTTCAATCAAATCAGTTATCAAAGTCAGAAAACTGGAAGCCTTCTCTCTTTTCCACTTCCGATCCATTTCCAAAACCTACGGATTCTACCTTCCTTCTGTCCCTGAAATACTTCCTGTTTCTATCCTCATTGTTAGAGCCTTTGGGCCCTCAGCATCTCTTGCCTGATTTACCCCAATAGCCACCTAACTCTATCCATACCTCCCAATCTCCTTCTAATTCATCCTCCATGGTTAAAGCCAGAGTGAGCTTTCTGAAACACAAGTTTTGTCATATCTCTCCACTACTGAAAAATCCTTCAAAGCTCCCCCACAGCCTTGAGAGCAAAGTGCAAACTCTGTGAATGGGGTCCCAGAATATTCATTTAAATGTAAATGTATAAAATAAATTGTTTTCTACTTAATATTGAGGTTCTGGTGTAGTAGCTTATTTAAGTAGCATAGTGGTTTAATGTGCATGCTTAATACACTGACTTAGATTGTGAAGTCTAAAGGGACATAGGTCACAATGGGCCAATTTATTTTCAATAGCAAATGAATACCAGGCTCTCCCACCAAGGACTTGAGGACTTCCGGGGCAGTTGCAAAGTTCCAGCCTCCAATGGCCAGGAGAGTTTTCAGCTGGCTGTTTCTGTAAAGCAAAGGATAGAAACAAGAAACTTCAAAATCCGTGAGTCCCTCTATTTAAAATAACATTGCTTTGGTATCAAGCCTGGTCTTTGATGTTGTCTTGATAAGATGTTCTGTAGAAGAATTTTCCTTCGCTACTAAAAACTTTCTCTATAAAAATTATTTGTGTTGTCATCATCATAAACGCACCCAGTTCTTTAAGGAAATCTAAATTATGGGACTGGATTTTTTAAAAACAGGAATGTATTAGCAATATTTTACATGTATATAATTTAAAAGTATAATTAGCTTATATTCTATTCCATCAGATGAAATGGTAAATGTTGCTTGATCATACTTACCCTCCTAGCCTCTATGATAATGAACATAAATCAATTGGCTTAGAATTACGCACGTTTTCTGGAATAATGGTTCTCAAACATCAATGAATGAAGTGCAAGCGTCAGAGTGGGAGGACAACATTAAAATTCCAGGTTTACAACCTCCTTTCTCAGCTATTCTGATTCGGTCACACTGGGGTAGGGATTGACCTTTTTATCAAGTGCTCCCATGTAATTCTGATGAGTAGTCAATGGATCACACTTCAAGAAATACCACTCTAAAGGGGTTTATTTCCTCTTAGGTATCATAACTTAAATTCTAGCAGCTGCGTTCAAGATAGTGCCATTACTGACGGTAGAAATGGCCTGTAGCCTCACTTCTCCTAGATATAACTAAACTGAACAAATTAGAAATTAAAGGATACCAGGATTTTTGTTTGTTTGTTTTATTTCATTTTTACACAAAATAGAACTTTATTAAAATACAGCAAATTCTTTTGACTTTTTGGGCTCAGAGATGTGTAATCTTCAGCATCCTCTCTCTTCTGCTCTCTGATGTGAGTAGATAAGATGTCTTACAGTTTCCTGGGTTATAAACAGAAGAAGCAGAACTAATATGTTTTTAATACCTGCTACAGCAAGCAATGTGTTATGTTATTTGTATCCTCGCTACTTAAAGTGTAGCTCCTAGACCAGAAGCAAGAGCATCATCTGGGAGTTTGTTAGAAAAGCAGTCTTGGTCCTCACTTCAGACTCACTGAATCTGAACTGCATTTTAAGAAGATCCAAGATAATTTGTTTGCACATTAATGTTTGGGAAGTACTGACCTAGGAGATTCCAAATTAGATATCTTCCCCTTTTCCTATTTGTTTTTCAGGCCATTGAAAGCTTGGTAGAGACTCACAGCATTCCATTCAGTGGTAGTGATCTCATTGTTCCCCATTCCAACAAAGGCATAGATCAGGTGAGTACGGAGGCAGGAGTTGAGGTCGTCAGGCTTGAAGCGTCGCAGGCCTGGCGGGTACTGGGCCCAGGTGGTGAAGTACCATGTCAGATGGTAGGTAGAAACCAAGGGTAGTAAGAGGTAAGAACAAGGGCCTGATTTAGGTGCCACTGAAATGTGCCGTGAGTTTTGGCCCTGCCTCTTTTTCTCTCCCTTTGCCTCACATGACTTCTCTCTGTTTTGGGGTGGTTGGTATGAACACTCTTGAAGATGGGTTCAAAGATTCTAACTTGGGAACTGGCCACTGACTTGAGGTTGTTTATTTTTTAAAGATTTTATTTTTTTTTCCCTTTTTCTCCCCAAAGCCCCCCAGTACATAGTTGTACATTCTTCGTTGTGGGTCCTTCTAGTTGTGCCATGTGGGACGCTGCCTCAGCGTGGTTTGATGAGCAGTGCCATGTCCGCGCCCAGGATTCGAACCAACGAAACACTGGGCCGCCTGCAGCGGAGCGCGCGGACTTAACCACTCGGCCACGGGGCCAGCCCGAGGTTGTTTATTTTTAACCTTGACGGATTCATTTTAGGATCTCAGATAAGCCGCTCAGTAGTCCTATGAAACCCAATGAATACTAATTTACAACTCTCAGGCGGTGATGCTGAAGAGGATGGCAGTGACAGCCAATCCAAAACAATAGATTCTCCCAATGGCACAACCATCCGTCTGTGAAATAGAAGTAGCTCTCTTTCCCTAGTGTGGCTTATCTCTTGATATACTTTTTTAAAAAGCAATACTGGAATATTAAAAATTCACATGTAATACATTAGGGAGACATTTGTGTTATGAATAATTTATAGACTTTTGAGGTTTATGGTAGAAAAGACTATGTCAAAAATAGAATACAGAGTCTATGACTTACCTAGCTGAGCTTCAACAGAAGGGCCAGACCTAGAGAGAAGGAAAAAACCTGTGCTTTGAACCAATGGTCTATACCCTGTAGAATCTAATTCTGAGGCCTTGGGTGCCACCCTTTTGTCATAGGTTGTTACAGCTCAAGTGGCTCTTAGGGGTGATGCCAAAGAATAGGCTTTGCACAGAAGGCATCCATAGATCTACACCTCCCTTCTCTTAGTCAAAAATGGCCATGGCTCTCTCTTCTTCCACCTTCAATGTCAGTAAGAAATGTTATTGAACGCAGAGTTCAAAGTCTGCTATCTGTGGAAGGTCTACTTACTAAAATTATCTAAAATTTCTCTACTCAATGACTATACATCCCTCCATGCTTCACCTCCCTGAAGTAGGATGAGTACAGCCTTCCACAGACAAGGCATCCTCTAAAGCAGTGCATTCAGAATCTCCTGGAGCTTTGGAATGGTTTTTTTTTTTTTTTTTTTTGGAAGCACCTTTTAGGAGCCTTTACAGCAGAAGAGAAAAACTAGGAGCCGTGAGGCAAAACTCCAAATGCCTTTCCCTGGCTTCCACAAGAGCACTTCTGATCTGATTGTGTTACAAATTGAGCTAGAGGTTTCATTTAGGAAAGGTTCTAAGGCTATAAAAACATTGTAAATCACAGCTCTAGAGCAACTGATAAACTGTGGATACAGCTTGGCTCTAAACAATTTACTGAACCACCTTCTCTGCTCAATAAGGACAAAGCGATGCCATATCTCCTAACAGCGTGGTGGAGATCATCACCACGGAAGACATCAGCTTAATAGCTTTTTTGGTAGTTTCCAGGGTTGATAAGCATCTGTTTAAACATTGTGGTTATGTTTTTACGTTGTGGACATTTCATGCCTGGTGTTAAAGTACATCTTTATTGGAAAGTGAATAGTAAAGACCTGTGGAAGTTTTTAGCTGTTTTTAAACGTTTTTTATTCATGGAATTATTCATATATAATTTGTACAATTAGTGCCTAGGGAACTTTTCATCTTTAGGTGCTACTTTCTGCACATTCCACCCACACCTGTTCTTTGGAATGACCTTAAGTCATGATTATATAATTATGCTTCCCCAAATGTCCCCTCTGAAGGGCAACAAGATCTTCCATCGTTCCCAATTACAACCAGAAGATGTTAAAAGATATTTTGTGTTGCTGATGGATAGAGACGATTGTCATGATATTGTAAAGAGTCTCTTTTAATAGAAATATTTGCAATTTGACCATTTCTAAAGTTTTATGTTTAAAATTGCAACGTACCTTTCCAAACATTATCTACCACCGTTATCCTATAATAAATTTCTGCTTCAGCCAAAATAGTCTATTCACTGTCTCCAAACACATCTTGCATGTCTTTGCTCACCTTCTCTCTCCATTCTTTGCTTTTAATGCCTTCTCCTTCTCCTCACCGCCTACTCCATTTTTATAAGTCTTCAAAGCCCAGCACAGATTCTCTCTTTGAAGCTCAATGATCTCTCCTTCCTCTGAGATACTTCATGTACTCTAGTACACGTTGTCTATACTGCTTAAATGGTACTGTCCTGTAACAAAACCTGGAATGCAGTTGATAGGCATATGGGTGCCCATTGTGGGATGTTGGCCCCTTAGCAGACATTGTGAATCCAGACTGATTTCTCTATTTATCATATTTAAAAATTAAATTGTATCCGCTCACCCAATGATAATTAGGTCCTGAGTGTTTGGTTTCCACTCACAGGAGCAGAGAAATTCTGGTGGGAGAGTTTCCAGGGAGGATTTCAATTGTGAAAATAATTATATCAACAAACACTACAAGCAGCTACTATGCCCCAGAGATTGTTCTTGGTGTTTATATCACTAAGAATTTATTTTTCAAGTGACTAAAACCAACTCTAACAAGCACAAATCAGTGTATTGGAAAAATATGAGGAAGCTCACAGAATCAAAGATAAGAATGTAGGACGTGCCTCTGATATGACAGAAATGAAGCATTTCTTGGGGGAGTGGAGTGGGAGGAGGGCTTAGGATAAACAAATTCCAATTTTATTTTTCATCCATGCATCATTCCACACAAGAATCAAATAGGAGAAATAGTCCGATTGAACTTGCACCAAACCTGTGATTGGGGAAAGGACACGTCACTCGGATTTAAATTTCCATCAGGATTGGTCATAAAAGGAAATTCTAAAAGAATGGAGAGTGAATACTGAGTGACTGAAAAACAGTGACTGCTCATCAGAGGGCTCTATTGCATTATTTCATTTAGCCTATAAACAAAGATTATTACTATCAGCCAAATTTTGTACATGAGGAAATTGATCAGACAAATCTTAAGCACTAAATCCAGCATTCAGTGCCAAGACTAGCTGTCTCCAGAATGGAAATCTAATATTTACACTGCACTGCCTCCTTATATTCAGTGGACTAGTTGGTGGTCCGGGTTGAACTGGGAAAGGCGTTTCCCTGAGGCACCCAGGAGAATATGGTTGGGATGAAGAGCCAGAATTGTGTCAAATCAAGGTAAAATCAAGGGTTTGCAAAAACAAGCAGCAAAGCCAGTAGTCCTAGGTTCATCCTACTCGGCACCATCAGGTCTAGCTGCTGTTTAGATTTAGTGAATATTTTCTGTTGAATTTGGCACCCCTGACCCTATGTGAATGACCCGCAGATAAAACAGCCCTCGTAAGAGCTCCAAGTGAATCCCCATCAAACCTGCCTCTCATCTGAGCGCTCGAGTGTTGAAAATAATTACCATCATCGTAAGATTTGTAGAATAAACAGAGGTTTAAAAGTGTTGGCATTGTGTGTCCTTTCATTTTGTTCAGTTTTTTTCAGTACGCCTGTATTATTTTTAGTCTCTCAATTCTATGATAAAATGTACCATACACATGAGTTTAGATATACATTTAAAGAAAAATATTAAAATGAAAACTTCTGTCGCACGACCCAGCTTAAATAAGATACTATTATCGTTGACTATTACCCTATGTGTCCTTCCTAGTTAGGTGTGTCTTACTTCCCTGGAGTAAGCCATTATCCTGAATTTTGTGCTAACCATTTCCTTGTTTTATTTATAATTTTATCACATATGTCTGTATCCTTAAATAATACATTCATTAGTTTTATAATATTAGTTTTAATATATTCATTAGTTTTTACTGTATGTATATATAAGTAAAATAATACCATAATACTTCTATTTCTTGCTTTTATAGTTCAGCATTAAGTTTTTGAGATCCATCCAAGTTGCTACAAGTAGCAGCTGTTCACTTATTTTCACAGTTGTATGGTATTCCATTATATGAATGTGCTGCGATTCACTTGTCCTTTCTGCATAGAATAACACATGGTTTGTTTCCAGTTTTTTCCCCTATATACATATATAAGCATTCCTGTACACATCTCTTGGTGCACATGAGCAAATTTCTCCAGTGTTTACACCTAGGAATGGTATTGCTGGGTGAAACAGCATAAGCATCTTAAAATTTATTATTTAGCTAGACATTTTTTTTCAAAGTATTTGTACCCTTTTGTACTACCAACAGCAATATATGAGAATTCCTATTGTTCCGCATCTTTGCCAAAACTTGGTATGATCAGACTTCAAAATTTCTGTCAGTGTGGTAGGTAGTTTTAGTTTACATCTTTCAGGTTACTAACAGGGCTGAGCACTTTTAAACGTTTATTGGCCACTTTTGTTTCCTTTTCTGTGAAATGTCTGCTCATTCTTTTGCCTACTTTTCTATTGAGTTGTCCACAAATTTATTATTCCTTTATAGGAGTACTTTATACATTCTGAATTGCAGTTATATCTTCTCCTACCCTAAGGCTTGTCTTTTCGCTTTCTTTATGGTGTCTTATGATGAAAAGACATTTTTAATTTTAATGTAGTCAAACATATACAAATTTTTACTTATCATTTGCTTTCTTTTGTATCATAATTGAAAAAATGCTTTCCTACTGTGAGAGCATAAATATTCTTTTATATTTTCCCCTAAACTTCTAAATGTTGCCTTTAAATTTAAATCTTTAACCCATCAAATTTGTTTTTGTGTATAGTATATGGACTAATTTCATTTTTTTCCATATGAATAACTAGTTACCCCAGCATCATTTATGAATAACCCATCTTTTCTACGTCTGAGATACCATTGCTATGTCTCAGATCTGTCATACACATTGGCATCTGGTCAAATCTCATGCCACCATCCCCATCTCTCAACACATACACTGCTCTTCATCCTCAGGAATGTCTTAGTCATTGTGGCCCTTTATACTTTCATTTTAATTTTATAATTTACTTGCCAAATTTCATAAGAAACCCTGATGGAATTTTGATTGGAATTACATGGAATAAAATTGGAGAAAACTGAGATCTTTGTGATACTAAGTCTTTCTGTCCATGAACATGGGTTGCCTCTCAAGTTATTTACATCTTTTAAAATGTCTGTTAATAAAGTTATATAAATTTCTCCATAATGATCTTTCACATCTTTTGAAAAAAATGTATTCCAAGGTATGATATATTTTGTCTCTATTGTAAAAGATATCATTTAAACTGCATTTTCTGTTTATGGCTGTTGCATATAAACGTAACTAATTTTTATATAAAATTTAATTCTAGCAACATTATTAAACATGCTTATTAGTTTAAAGAATTTTCTGTGCACGTGTTCAGTTTCCTGTGTAGTTAATCATGTCATCTGAGAATAATGGAAGTTTTATTTCTTCATTTTTAACATGCATAGCTGAAGGACCACCACATAAAAAGACAATGAGAGACTGACCCATGCAGTCAATCTAAGTAAGAAAGCCAGTTTATTCACATGCAAAGAGGGGCACCACTGGTAGAATAGTCAATACTAGTCAATGGCATAGAGCATTCTCCCACACCTGCCTGACATAATGGTTTCCATGTAACAGAACACAGTATCAGAGTGGACTCTAGAATCACAGATTTGGATTCCAATCCTGGTTCTCCTCCTTACTAGATTAGGTACATTAGACAAGTTATTCCATCTGTTAGCCTCAATTTCCTCACCTATAACCTATGGATAATAATAGTTCTTGTCTCATAGGGTTGTTGTGAGGATTAACTGAGATAATCTATGTAATACAGCTAGAACATATTAGGTATTTAATAAAATGTAGCTATTATTATTATAGTCATGCACCGCATAATGACATTTTGGTCAATGATGGACCACATGTATAATGGTGGTCCCATAAGATTAGCACCATATAGCCTAGGTGTGTAGTAGGCTATACCATCTAGGTTTGTGTAAGTACACCCTATGATGTTCACACAATGATGAAATCGCCTAACGAGATATTTCTCAGAACATATCCCCATAATTAAGTGATGCATGACTATTCCCAAATTAAAGATCTCAAATCCTTGAGTAGCTGAGGAACAATTGTGGGCACAGGGGGAGTTTTCTAACATTTGTGTGTGGATTAAATGACTGACATGTTTCAAATAAGAATTTACTAGAGTATTTTTGAAATACAGATTTTTAAAGAAAATACCAATTCCTTTGAAAATTCTAGTTGCTTTTTGCTACATATTTCCTCAGTTGGCAGAGGAGGAAAACTATCACCACTATCCTCTGCGTGTTTATAGTGAGGAATCTATAAATCAATTTTTTTTTTAATTTTAGAAAAATGCTCATACTTGAAAAAGCCCACAATTAGAATTTGCCAGTGAGGGAACCGACTTTTCAAAAGTGGTGTATTTCCTGCTCTGGAGACGTTCAAGCATACGCTGCAAGATATCTGAGGTTATCTTGCAAAGGATTTCGATGGTCAACAGATGACAGATTTGCTGACCTCTTCTAGCCCAGTTGACTCTTACTACTCCCCCAACAGGGAGGCAAGTTAGACTTTGTTGTCCGTTTCTTGTTCCTCTCTACAGATGAGGAAACTGAGGATGAGAGTTTGACAAAGTTACGCAGTAAGATGTGGAGCCTGAACTCGAGCTCAGAGCTTCTGACTTCTAGTCCAGTGTTTTATCTATTTTTTTATTTAGCTTTCTTTTTGCTGAATTCTATATTTCCACTAATGCAGCCTAAGACAGTACCATCTCTCACAGCAATTTTATCATGTTGTTGTTTCATATGGAACCTCTCACATGAAATAGACTCAAGTCAAATCTCATTCGTATGTGCTTAGGAAACTGATTTTTTTATAACCTATGCATACTTTTATTATACACGGAATAGTGTTTTGTGTCATTCGTTTACAGTCTATGTCTCCTACTAATAGGTAAGCTCATTGGTGGCAGGTTCTATTTTTTTTTTATTGAGTTCATAATAGTTTACATCATTGTGAAATTTCAGTTGCACATTATTTCTTGTTTGTCACCACATAGGTGCTCCCCTTCACCCCCTGTGCCCAC